AGTTAACTAGTCAAAGTCAATTGCCCGAGTTAAGACCACGTGGCTTTATAATACTGCCACAATAATGGTGCATGCTTTATGTCTGTCGCTTAATTGATAACAAATAATATAAATTAATAAGCCAATCGCGACATCATCATTGTTAACTCTCAATGTTAAAAAAAAGTTTTCATTATTATTATTTTCCCATCCCAACCGTGCACTAATTTTCATTAGTACATGGTTTCCTTGATTTTTTTTTTGGTTCATGTCCCAAAGGCCAATTCAACTTGTATGTATCGGTATATTGTGCACTGCCATGAAATGTAGGCTAGTGTTTTTACACAGCACTTCAAAGCCTGTCTGCAGGAAGAGAGGACTGACACTCGTCCAATAGTCGTTTGTTGACAAGTGGTAATTGAAGAAATGACTTTCTCAAAAAAAGGTTGCTTAGAACCTGAAGAAAATTACTTCAAATTCAATATTATGTATAAAAAATTAAAGAATTCCTTGAATCAATGTACTGTATTCCAATAAACTAAAGGAACTGAACATTTTAATAGGAATATTCTAGACCTATTTTATAGACTCAAGGAACAAATTTAGAGGCAGGAGGTAGCTGAGGCCTAGATCGTAGCCTAGCCTAGATGAATCATCACAAGATTTTACCTGAATGCATCTCAAAAAAAGTGATTGCAGTATTTTCTGAAATGCTTTAAGAAATATTTAATTTAATCAAAATAGTAAATTCACGATAAGTTCTTTAAACACAATCAAATATTTATTCATTATCCATACTGTGTAACGTCAACTGCCGTGTGTATAGGGCGTATGTCCTGCAGCAACAATCGGCATATGCACAGCTAAATGTAGTACGCACACAGATACACTGATCATATCACTATAGCAACCGATGATCGACTGCTACCATTTGATTATCAAACTAAATTAAAAGATAGCAATTGACTTTATAAAGCAATTAGTATAGTGCATATTTATACACTACGTCATGAAAGCAGATTAATGCATTCAAAAATTCCTTTGTGCATTAATTTAACCATTGTATGATAATTTTCACTAGTGTATGATACTCCACTAATTGCTTATTAATAAATGATAATGGCACCTAATAAAGTCCTGTTGATTGATTGATTATTGGTATTAAACCAACACCTTTTATATCATGTCAAACTTCATAACAATCAACAAAGGTTTGGTGGTGAATCAAAGGTCCTGTAGTGATTGAAATTTTTTTCATGTGTCCGATATCATATCATAACCGCATCCTTAATTCAAGTATATTTGTGTAAATGAAAAAAAAAAATTCCCATCAAGATTCGAACCCAGGTTCTTCTGCCAATTTTTCTGACAACCTAACCAATAAACCAGAGGCAATTTGATTGAAAGCAATTTTCTTCCCACAAAATACAAGTACAGTGAAATGAAGCAGTTAAAACTAAAAGCATATTTACAATATAAGAAATTACTGTAACTGATATGTCCTCATCTTCATTATCAAAACTGACAGACATCTAAGAAAATAATACTTTACATAAATAATGACATGAAGATATGAAATTTAAACCACCTATTTATCAACCTGAAATATACTGTATATTTCGTTTCTACACTGTAGACTCTTTTTTTAGATCATTATGTTTATTTTACTCTCCTTAGAGGAAAGCGACTTGACGTACAAACCACTCTTACGAATAAATTAAAATTTTACCATGCTGAAGCCCATAGAAACAATAAATTTATACTTACAGAATGAATACTTTTAAGATGGATCTTAGCTCAGGTCTATGAAGTCAAGCAGCCTTATTGTAATTTCTAGTCATAATTTCACATAAACTTCAGAAAAATTTACATGAATGTATAACTGATAATTACCAATAATATTCATTACCATAAATTAAATATGCACATAAATAAATTCTTCAATATATTCATCACCATTCTCATCAATTGGTTCTAAACCTCATTTCAATCTAAATAGCATCATGAATAAGGTATATCCTTTGAAAATCAATGAAAGGAAAATGTAGAGGAATCAGAATGGGAGTGGAATTACTGGGAAGATCTGCGACATGAGCTATTAACCTCATTTTATCAGAAAGAACGATTTTTACAGCCAGTGGCTAATAAATGACTCGCAACAAAGGGTTGTATAGCTTAATGATTGACTAGAGACTATCTGGCTCTCTCACTTGTGAATCCTTATAACTGCCATTAGTTAGAAATACAGAGATATTTGTAAAAGTGGTATTGAGTTTGGGCTGAATAATTCTTCTAAGAATATGAGGAAATTCCTTTGGTATACAATGCAAATTCACACATTGTCATAAGGATATAATATTTTTGACTTTACTGTAGTTCCTCTGGTTTATTAAGCAACCCCCCCCCCCAACCAAACAAACACAAAATTGTGCCAATTTTGGCGGTATGGGCTTATAAAACGGGAATCCTCTTTTCAATCACTACACTTTTTTATCACTACACGCCTATAATTCAAAGATATGACATTTGTTTAGAGTATTTGCAAAAGTCAGCTAAAAAACTACCCATTCAAATTATACCTGGGGTTTTTGACCAAGGAATGGCTGTATATGAAATTGGGCATAGAGGGGGATGAAAGGGTGCCGAGAAAAGGGGGATGGGGGCTTATAACTGAGGTGGGCATATACCTAAAGAACTACAGTACTGTACTCTACTTCAAGCCATGGAACAAGACACCTATAAGGACTTTCGCACAATACGCTGACCACTGGATAAAGCACATGCAACACGGACTCCATGTTCCCTGGGGACAATTTAATTATATTCAAAACTACCAGGTATACTGTACCTTCTTGGTTGGAGAGAAAAACAGTTCCTTGCCCATGGACACAAGAACAAATGCATAGCCAGGGATTGGATTTCAACCCAAAGGCTATAAGAAGCTGAACCACAAAACCAGTGCCGAAGCATTTATTTACTGTATTATGAGTGCAACTTAAATTGTTAAATGCAAGTTTACTATTTGCCAAATAGGTAGCATATAAGATTGAATATTATATGTTCATATTTAGAAATATGTTACAATGTCATCATGTGAAAAATGTCATATGTACATTACAATCGTTTTCTAGATGATAGGAAGTAGCATAGCTATAAGTGGATTAGGTGCCCATGTCTCCTCCCCTCCCCTTCTCAGGCTCCTCCCCCACTTAAGATGGAGGCAAGGCCTGTTCGATTTTATATGACCCTTTTACATTGCGAGCGGCTAATATTCTGTCTCTTATAAGAAAGTTACCACACACATATGACCATCTCCTTTTGTATCATACCCTTTTGCAAATCACCTGCCCTACAGTTTATTTTAAATTAGACCCTACAAATTAGACCCTCATATGTATACAGTATCACAATTGCTTGTATCACTGTTATTTTTATATATTTATGTCAAAATTATCGATGAACCTAATGCATATATTATATGCATATTCATTATGCAAATTAATTTATTTATGCAGACATTTCTCTGAAAATTACTTCATCATTCTTATGCAAATCATGGATGGTATATAATGAAATACAAACATTTTTAACAATACATTTTCAAAGGCACAGAAATTATACAAAGGGAATAAATATGTAAAATCTGTGATGAGCATAGATCATGTGTATTCGCTCCATTTAGACAAGGTATCAGTTTGCATGGGAAAAATCAAAGGTTATGTATTATTTTCATTGAGTTTAAATGTGGCATACAATAAAGTACCCCCTAGAGAGTAGATCAGAATTGCACATTAATCATGTATTTATATTGACCCTGTAGAATCTAATGACAATAGAACATATCTAAATGCTATGGCACGTTCAGATTGTATGGGGAAACGTACCTAAAAAGTGAATTGTCTTCCTCTACTTTGTTCATATTATATCGACCATGTCCTTTGGTATTATACTAAAGTATGTTGTCATGGTTGCACAATATGTGGTTTCTTCTTTACTCAAAAATGATGGTTCACACTCAAACTTTAAACAGAGTTTACTTGTTCATCTACTTGCTACCAGTTCTATGTCAACACCACAAATTGTAATGATAATAGTGGCATTTCATATTGATAGCAAGTTTATTTGGCTCTAAGTTTGAAGATGATACACCGAGTTACTCAGTAATAAGCCTACCCCCCCACCCCCCTACTTTACGCCAATTTCATGTACAGCCTTTCCGGAAATATGGCATAAGCCCTGGGTATTATTTGAATGAATAGCTACAGTAGGCTGACTTTTATAAATACTCTGAAAATAATCAGCAGTGATAAACAATTCTTTTCGATTGAAAAGAAGGTTCCCTGGGTATAAGCCCACCCCCAAAATCAGAACAATTTTGTGTTAGAGGAAGAGGGTGGCTTATACCTGAGGAACTATGGTATTCAAAAACACATTTTATATTTAGATTTTAATCTGCATAACAGTTACAGGGGTGGATTCAAAGATGTCCCAATGGTGGGAGGGGGAGGGGGGAACTGAAATAAGGAGACAAAAGTGGGATAAAACAAACTTTTTCTTTTCTAGATGCCGAAAGTTAGTTTTGGGCGATCAATTAATATTCTTTTTGTTTTTTTTTCTTTTCATTGTTTTTTACTTTCGTTTTTTACCCCCTGCCCACAAATATACCCCTGAATTAGGTATATATATATATTGAGGTATATATTGAATATATACCTCAATATAAGGAATAAATAAAAATTGTATGAAAACAATTCTGAAAAAAAAGATGACCTATGGAGCTCTTTTCCCTATAATGTCATAAAGACATTTCCCAGGCAATAAGAGTCGGAAATAAAATGCACGATAATGGGTCTTTCTGATAAACCCCGCATGGTGGATATTTTTGTAGATATTTTTTTTCCCCCCAAAAAAAAAAAAAATTGGTTTGAAAATGAACACAAACACATGTGATTATGAACCTGTTCTGATTGGCCCCTCCCCATTTCCCCTCCCCCCCTAGGATTTAAACCAAAGCAACTCACCTTAAGTGATTCTACCTCTTGTTGTGTGGCAGAGGCATGGTATGACAGTACTTCCAATGCTACTTTTTGTGTTGCCATTGCTTTCGACACTTCATTAAACATAAGGGTGTTGTTAATTCCTAGACCACAGAATAAAGTGAAGGCCTAAAAAATACAAACAATATTTTGTAGAAATAATGTTTAGAAGCCATTCCGGGTTTGGGCATTTTAATGGCGTATTTTGATGTGTCTTTACACATTCTATTTTTTAAAAAACATTAAATCAATAGATGCATTTGTAGTGACTCCAAATGATTAACTCTTTCACATAAATACCTATGATAGGAGTTTAATATCATTTATTCACAACCCTTCAAATCTAAATATTTCCACTTTCTTCCACAATAAAGATTCACACACAATTCTTGCTCTTTATTCAAATTCGATTACATTTACAATCAACAAATTTATTCTATACTTGCCTCAAACAAACGCTCATCATGTTCGTCAAAGGGAAACCCGTCGGCTCTGTTCAGGATCTGAGCGACACCTAGAGATCAATGAAGAAAAGAAACCGAAAAAGGATTGAATAAATTTGTCAACACGTAATTGAAAACCATCTCAAAATGTGTGAAATATATCAGGCACAAGGCAGAAAACATTCAGGCTGATAATGTACATTTTTTAATGGCGACAAAACTAATTTTGAAAGAGAGCACCTGTGTTTAATCATTTAAGGTTTTATCATTGAAAGGTATCACAACTTTTTTATGTCATTCATTATGGGATCATTTCGTGAATAATGCCAACTGCATTAGCAATTAATTTTATAAATTTTTGAGCAGATTAATCCGATTTAATTTGCATGGCTGTTATGCATCTGTATGAAAGTAGTGTAGTCATGTAAAAGCCCCGTGTCCATAAAATCACTGTAGCATTTTGTTGTGATTAAAATTAGTTATAACGTGCTGTCCCGACACAATTTGAAAGGCTCCCCAATCCGACCGATTCGGGCAACGATTCTTCTCTGACAGACAAGGGAAGCTGAACCACGCTTAATATTACCCTTTTGGGGATAGTTTGGGATAGTTTCAATCGGTTTACGTCATCCTCTTTTCAAATATCAATTTGATTTTGCAGACTTGGCAAATTTTGTATACAGTCAAACTATTCCATTGACAAGGGCGTTTAAAGACAAATGAGATGCAAACATAGTGCCTGTATTCCCAGTGGCGGAATTTCAGTAAATACTCGCAACATGTGTAATATGGATAAGGCCCTCTCAAGCTAGGCCTAGTTCAAGGTCAAGTGAAACAATTCCTTTGACCAAAGGTTTTATGGGCCTGATCACCATTTGAAATGTTTTAATATCTTTACCTAGCATTCCCGACAGAAAGCCGGCGACAACGATGTGTGTAGCAATTTTATGGAAACTATGCATACGTCACTGACACAATATCGAGAACGATAGCACTCCAGAGACTGACTTTTGATGTATTTTATTGCAAGCTTTACTGACAGTCGATGCCAGATTGACATCAGGTGTTATTGTGTCATTTCTGTTTGTACTAGTCTTGTGCAATTTTCTCATCCTTGTCTACGTTATTACAGGATACCGTACATCCCACAGCTGACATGAATTTTTTAAAGGTCACCTTTATGTAATATGCTAATTGTCTCATCAAATGGATTCATCTATGCTTTAAATCAACATTTATTCACTGAAGTTCATCTCTCATTCCCAAACCTATATACATTCATATTATTCAATTACTATTCAACAATAACAAAGAACTGAAGGTTAAACTAATGCATTCTTCGAACATTAGAGATTTATAATTAGATTCATGAGAACAGTATATAACACTTCTCCCTGCTCTCGGGCACTGTTCTAAATTTTGATGTTCAATTTTGAGTTCTTATAATCATGAAGACGTAAAGTTGTTTTTACCAAATGATTTTTTTTTTATTTAAAAATTGAAAGTGTACCCCCTCCTAGATGTTAGAATTACAGTTGAACTTGCCTAAGTCAAATCCAAAATGCCATGGAAAATTTTTCGACTTAGATAAAATTCAACTTACAGATAGTTAATTAATGGTAAACACAACAATTTGGCATGTAAAGATAAGTTCGATTTAGAAACTATTCAAGTTAGGCAAAATCGACTTAGGTAGTTTAACCTATTACCATTTCTTTAAAATTTATTTTAAAATCAAGAAACCTAATGCATTATGTTCCAACCCTGATGCTTTAGTCTCTGGTGAGTTATTCAATCATGGATTTATCTTTTTTTATTTCTCATTTTAAGTGTGCACAATACAGAATTACTACAACAGCTTTCTTAATTCATTACAGCCAATGGCAAGGTATGTAGCCACGCAGTATGGCGGGGGAAACCACAGCCCTTACATCAGCTTAGGGTTTGAGGTCCTACTTGTCCAGAGTTCGGTAGAGCTAAGAAATATTCATTAGATTCATGGAAAGAGCACATTCTGCTGAATGTACGCTTTTGCCACTCTGGGCTCGGGGTTTTACATTTCTATAATAATATATATGGAACAGCAAGTTTGCACCTTGCTGATAAGATTTTCACAAGTTTTTGGAGCGTGGTAGTGTAGAACAAGCGCATGCAAACAGGGTCCCTAAATACAAGTGGTAGCATTACTCAAATTAGTGTTATAATTGTTAATATAGGAAAATACATCGCATCGTTTCTAAACAGGAAGTTGTTTCTGAATGCAAAAGCCATATGAATATATAATATTTCAAAACCCCAAATTCCTCTTTAAAGAAGCCAAGATTACCTCTTCATTGGCTGCTAAACTGTAGTTTACAATTACCACACCTGTTTGCATTCAGCAATATGCTGCAAGCTAATACAGGTGAATCCCCTTACCTCTACCTTTACAGCAAGTCTGACTCGACTGTGAATACAGATTACACTGTTTTAAGCCCTGTCCAGACTACATGCCTAAATATGGTCATGATGACATATATATATATATATATATATATATATATATATTACCATTTTGGTTTTTTGAGAACTAATAAAATATCGATGCATCTTTCTGGTTCTCCCGATCGCCATGTCACGGTTTTACGTTCGCGAAGTGGTCGGATTTTGGTTTAAAACATTTTATGTTTTAAATAATAACATTAGATTCAGAAATTGTGTATACTTTCTGAAATTTGACCATGATTGGAGCAGTACTGGCTGAACTGTGTCGATTTTCTCCTACTACCAAGGTCTTGTTTACTCATATTGTGAAGGCCGTTTAGGCAGCATGCAGGCAATTAGCAATCAATCATCCAACCCACCAGTGACCGTTCTTCTAAGGGGAAGAATTTCATCATGAACATACAAATATATCTCAATAATATTACCTTAATACTATTGACAATATTAAATCTATTTGTAGTTCCTCATTAAATTAAATTGAATATTGTACATAGAGTTTCTGCTTTTTACATACAAGATGCACCCATAATTATTATTAATTTTTGATTAGTTGACTAAAAACCATGGGGTTCACTGATAAGATAGTATGTTCATCTTCAAGAATTTTTTTTTTTATTCCTGAAGATGAACACATGAAATTTAAAATATTGAATGTCGGTCGCATCGCCTTTTTTGAAGTTTGTTTCATACTGTCTTCTGGCTGCTCAATCTTATTCTCAGCAACCATTATAGATCTTCATTACAAGTGATTGCAAGTCTTTGAAAAACTCCTAAAGACAGATTGAATATTCCAGAGCCTTCATTTAGAATGATAATATATTAAATCTTGTTACCTTAAAAAAAAAATCATGTGCGTGCTTGGCAAAGTATGTTTGCCTATAATATCAGGGACCTATGGTGTATTTCCTGTTATACCTGGATTTTTCTAATGACTACAGAAAGCATCCAACTCCCTTTCCAGCAATACAGTTCCATTAGCATAGATATCAGGCAAAGATCAAATGAAACATCCTCCCCCCCACACCCCACCAAAAAAAAATGTTTGTATCATGATACCAATACAGCTAAAATCAAGGTGCTATAAAGTGTATTTAAACAGCTTTATACAGTTCTAGTATACTGTAAGTCACTGTTTGAAGTTAAGAACAACGCCATAGTTTTACCATAGACTTATACATTATGCAAGCTTTTCAAAGATTAAATAAAATTATTACTAATTTTTTTTTAAGTAGTACCATTAATATAATCTAACAATAGCATAAAATAAAAAAAGGGTTTTTTTTTTTTTTTTATCTCATATGAAGCTGTGTTAAAAGTACATCAAACTATCCAATCAAACAATGAGAAACACTTACTGAGAACATTCAGCTACCATTTAACACAATTATTGCATCCTAAAGTGGTTTTTGGAGCACATTATAGCACTAGCATGATCATTTCCACATATAACTACAAACCGAAATAGGTCAAACATCAATTCTACATGATTAGTGATTTATTCACTAATTGCCGCTGTTTTCAACATTCTATAGCGACCCATATTCGTAGACAGTAGTTAAGCTTTCCTAGCGTTGAAATAACTAGTTTAAACTTGTTCTAACTCTTTAGAAGCATATCCAAATAAAAAAATTAAATTGCTTGGAAACAAGCAAAATAATAGGCATTGACATTCCTTTTATTGATAAAGTAATCAGAGATGTTACCGTCACTATGGGAGAGGGATATTTTCACACGATATTTGCTTATACTAAGATATGATTCGCTTAAAAGGCTCTGGACTAGCGGTGCACATGCACATACCAAGAGATGATCTATATGCAACTCTTACTATCTATTAAATACTTGAACTGCAACAACATCAGATTTTGCAACCTTATGAAAACGAATACGTCGTTCTTGTTATCGTCATTCATGTCTAAAGTATTATTGACAATATGCTTTACGAGCTGAACATGATCCTTGATTCATGCAAAAGGCATGAACTGACTACGTTGTAATAGATATGCTACTACTATATGGGAAGAGTTGTCAAAAAACCGATGATGTATCCGTATTTGTTCTTGCTTTAGTAAGCTTGGTTATAAATTTTTCTTTTTTCTGGTTACCCATGGAATGTGGGGATATTGTTCTTCCATGGGGTACAGATAACAAACACTAAAATTTCATACAAAACAAAATAAAATGAAAATAAAAATTGTATGTGGAATTAAGTACAAGAAGCAAATTTATTAAACTAAATCTTTGAAAGATTGTGAATGTATATAATAGTGCTTCAAATATTTGATACAGTTGGTTAATCCAAATTCGACGGAATGATATTTAAAAGTTCTTTACAAAATTCAGCTTGCGAAAACTCCCTATTGTTTTGAGAGCAGATTTCATCTGAATTAAATTTAGTGGCATTACATAATGAAGTGTTTTGATAGATACCCTTTTCTAATTTTGTTTATATTAATCAGTGTTTTTTTTTTCTATTAAAAAAAATGTATATTTTAGATTGAGGACTGTCATTGCCATTACCTTTTTCATATTTGTATATTGACCACTATATTTTTCCCATATGAGTACTACTGTAACTATTTCATTC